GGAGATGCCCCCGGAGGAGGGGCTGCAAAGCCAGCCCAGGGAGCTGTGAGGAGGAAAGAGCCGTCCTGTGCCGGGAAGGCGGCCGGAGCTTGAGCCGGAGCTCCGAGCTGGTGGTCCCTGAGCAGCCTCCCAGCAGGGAGAAGCCCTTCAGGTGCTTGGAATGTGGGAAGAGCTTCAGCTGGAGCTCCACCCTCCTCAGACACCAGCACATCCACACTGGGGAACGGCCCTACACATGTAGGGAATGTGGGAAGAGCTTCAGGAGCAACTCCAACCTGATCCAACACCAGAACATCCACACTGGGGCACGGCCCTACACGTGTGGGCAATGTGGGAAGAGCTTCAGGCAGAGCTCCAACCTGATCCGACACCAGAACATCCACACTGGGGAACGGCCCTTCACGTGTGGGGAATGTGGGAAGAGCTTTGGGGACAACTCCAGCCTGATCCGACACCAGCACATCCACACTGGGGAACGGCCCTACACGTGTGGGGAATGTGGGAAGAGCTTCAGGCAGAGCTCCAACCTCCGCAACCACAAGCTCATCCACACTGGGGAACGGCCCTACAAGTGCTTGCAATGTGGAAAGAGGTTTCAGACCAGCTCACATCTCCTCCTGCATGAGCGGATACACACAGAGGAGAGGCCCTTCCGCTGCACCGACTGCGGGAAGGGCTTCAAACAGAACAGCAACCTCGTCACCCACCGGCGCATCCACACCGGGGAGAGGCCCTACAAGTGTGGGGAGTGTGGGAAGAGCTTCACCCAGAGCTCCAGTTTGACCACACACCAACGGACCCACCAGTAAGGGAAGCCCTACAAGTGCCCTGACTGCGAGAAGAGCTTCGGCCGCTGCTCCCTCCCCAAATGACCCCCCTGATGGTGAGGCAACCCCTGGAGTCCAGTGACTGTCAGTCCATCCCTTTCTACCAGAAAGGGCCAGTCCCCTTTGCCAGGGGCAGGTTGTGCCAACAGAACCCTTCTTGGGGGTGTGTGGAGATTCCTGCCTTGGCTGGGACCCCCCAAGGTCACTGCTGGAGGTTGAGAGCAGAGATCTTCCCCCGAGCGTTGGTCTGGGGGAGTTCCATCCCTCTCTAATTCATAATTCTTGCTTTGGTGCCAGCTTGAGTAGAATTGCTTCTATAATTGCTTTAGTGTAGAGCACTGTTCTATCTAATGCTGTACTAATGGTAGTTTTAGTGTTTCTATTGTAAAAAAATTCTGAGGAAGATCTTTTGTCTGATCATTTGTAACCCTAAATAATTCATTTCTATCAGTAGATCTGATTTGGCCTCCTTAAAACCTGGGGGACAAAAGTGGTTCAGTCCCACCTCTGTAATTCCTGTGAACTGGAACAGTTTGCATAGCCGAAGGCTGAGATTGGATTCAGCAGCCCCAGCATCCCACAGTCAGTTGGGAGCTCAGGGGGCCACCTCCCTTTCCCATCCCCCTTGTGCCCAAGGACCCCCATGGGACCACCTTCTCCCTGTTCCTCCCTCTTTTCCATAGTCCTTCATTACAATCTGCTTAAATATTGCAGAAAGAACTTCAGATTTGAATATTTATTTGGGCAGAAGTAAAACTCACACAAGTTATCTGTGTATACCAAAAACTGATTTTTATTAATTGCTAAGAGATGCAAAGAGAACGAGGAAAAAATAAGAAAAAGTTTAAACTGCCAAGATTATTTCTAGATGCAGAGAAAAAAATACCACTGAAAACTTCCTTTACCACTGAGCCTGTGGGTGTGTGGCAGAAGAAAAGCAGTTTCTGCCTTTCTTTTCTCTGTCCCTGCAGCTTTTGGATGTTGTCTCTGTAGCTGCAGGGGCTCTGACAGCTTTAGTTCTCTGCAATGCACCAGGTGTGGTTTCACCACTCACGCCCCTGTCCCAGGCTGTGCAGGGTCTCAGCTCAGCCCAAGCTTTGGGCCCTCAGAAATATGGTCAGGGTAGAAGGATAAGGTAGAACTGCCACATGTGGCACGGTGGTCTCAGCTCTCTCCAGGCCGGCACAGTTCCAGTCTCCGGTGGCAGGCAGGCAGCACGCGGTGGCGGAGAAAAGGGGAGGGGAGGTGGGCAGAGATTC